TTTACTGTTGACATACATGTACTTTGCATGTGTATATAAGATGCTTATTACATTTTAGTTTTTATGTTACGTTTCATTGATACGTTAACATAATTATCTGTTACTATGACATACTCATAAATAATGTGCAATATTCAACATTTTTTTTTTTTTTGAATTATCCTGTATTTAAAAAAATATGTTTATGATTGAATGTCTTCCAACAAAGGATATCTAATATTTATTTATTATCTTAATTTTGCAGATATTTGAATAACTCACTAATGTTTTTTTTTTCAAAATTTTTACAGTGCTACATTAAATTAATATTATTTAATAATTAATAATAATTCAATATGAATAAAAATAATTTTTTTTATTTAAAAAATTATAAAGATTTATATAAACTAATAATATTTTATAGGCTTATGATGTTAATATAAAAATTAAATCATAACATAAATATGATAAAAGAGTAATTATATATATATCTATATAATTTCAATAATGTTTGATTGATTGATTCCTTTTAATATTTCATTGAGAGCTATTTGTTTTTTATCAATAATGATTGTTTTCAGTGATTTACATTTCGTTAACTCTTCACTAGAAATTTCTTGAATTTGATTTTCTCTCAGATCCAAAACTTTTAGATTATTTAGAGCAGGAAAATTATTCAAGTTCGCTAGTTTACAATTCTTCAGTGATAATTTTTCACACATAATTAAATGTTTTAAATGATTTAAATTGCTGTGGGATAAGTCATTATCACTCAAATCRATATTTTTGTTGAATAGAAACATGTGCATATGATAAAATGCTGTTAATCCATATCCTTTCAAATTAATGTTATCCATATTGTGGTTATAATTGTTAGCTATCCAATATTCAATTTGGTAACGGCTTTCAAGGTCATGATAATAATTTTTCCTTTTAGTGTCTATTTCTTTTAATAATTTGATGTTTTTAAGGCAATTTTCAAAATAATTATTTGGTTTCAATGTATAAAGAAGTAACACATAAGTGAGTAAAGCCCACTTGCTTTCTGGCTCCATTTCTATCAGTTGAYGTAAACTGTCTAGTTGTCCATTTAAAACAAGTTGTAGTTGTTTGCTAATATTAAGATTAAATATATCTTGTTGAACACTATCTATTGTTACATTATCAATAACTTGGTTTATTTCATCAATGATCTGTATTTTGGTACTGTCAACATTGTCTAGTTTTTTATACCAAATTTTTGAATCAAATTGTTCCCAATTTGTTTCTCCTAATCCGATAATTTTATAATTGTTTGGTAAATTTCTATTTAGTATAATATACATTTTATCTTTTATTTGAGAAACTTTGTATATAAACTTAGATGGTTCTAGTTTTCCTATAAGCCATCGCTGATATATCCAGGCACTTTGATCTGACGGATCAGTAAATGCTGCACTTTCCACCAATGATAATTCTGAAATTTTTGTGGATTCTTCATCTTTTCCYGCAGCACTAAAAAGTTTTGATCGATAATGCCATGCAGAATAATTTGAAAAATTTGACTCTATCATTTCCATAGTAAATTTCAATTCATTTTCATTTGGTTCTTGACACTTAGATGCTACAATTTGTCGATAATCCCAGCAATGAAAATTTCTTTCATCCATTTTCAAATACTTTGTGCACAATTGCAATTCTTTATTCCAATCTGGACTAGGATCTACATTATCTAGTAGCCAATTTCTATGATACCATGCTGAATACGATTTTGGATTTACTTGTAAACATTTTTCAGTTAAATAAAGTTCATCATTAATTATTTCTTCAGATGGTTTCAAATTTAATAATATTTCTTTTCTATAATTCCATATAGTAACAATATCAGGATTGGATCGTAATAGTCCTTCGGATGATTTCAAAGCTAAAACATCATGTTCATTACGAGATCGACGTTCAAATATATCATTGATAGTATTTCGATATAGTTGAAGTTTCTTTTCCTTTTCTCGATCTGCAGCTGCTTTTTGTGCTTCAGTTGTACGTATTTTCAGTCTATTATGCATATTTTATAAAATTAACCTAAAAATTAAAATATTMAAATATTATAATATGTACATCATATGTTGTTCTCATATTATATAATAAGAATAACTAACAAYAATTATTATATTTTTTTAATTTACTTAATTTAAATTTTAAAGTGTTTGATGTGATAGTTGATAAAATTACAGTTAAGCAATGTACCTATAATGAAGAATATACACCTAAATATAATTTCATGATTAAATATATATAAATTAATATAATCAACAAATCTCACATTAAAAACTAAACTAGAAACTCACCAGAAAAATATTCACTGATAATTTTTAAGCCTCTTTAGAAAAAATTAATTGTTCAATATAATATCGTTCACAATACCAA